ATGCAGGACGAGATTGTGTTTCAGGACATAATTCACTGAATTTAGTCCTCTTAGTGATGCAGCAGTCACAAGGGAGCACCAGCATGCACACAGCTCAGAGGCTTCACTACACACTTACACAACAAGTTCTGCTTTTAGGATAAATCAATAAAAAAAGAAATAGGTCTATCCACGCTAACTTGTGTTTCATTGTCAGTATTTAGTATTTATGAACTTGCTTTAATACAGGCAGTGAAATGAAATGATGAACCGATAAGACAGAGGGATCTATTCCTCTTGGAGGCCGGGCAAGGAGGAGTTAACAGCGCGCGACTCCTCTCCTCTCCGCTTGATGACATCAGTATTGTCTCTGCATCCATGAAATTAATTTTTCTAATCTTAGTCAGCAGGAGCGGGGGAATTTGCACACATTAATATGGAACTCGATCTGTACTCGCCCACAGCTGCAGTCTCTCTTCTTCTCCTCTTTCTCCCTCTCTCCTCTCCCTTTTTCTCTTTTCACCCTCTATTTTTCTGCAAAACTGTAAGGCCCATATGCACAGGGTTTCAAGCCTGAAATGTAGAGCTTTGTTCTGGGGGCCCAGGCTTCGGCGGGCCCCGCAGTGTAATCGGAACTGGAGTGCTCTGCTGCATGGTATAAATAAATAACATAAAAGACAAGGCTGATAGTCCCAGCAGACCAGCCGACTCTGGCTGCAGCATGTTGATTCTCCAGAGACAAACGCGGCACTGAGGATAAAGAGGATCCGTTGACAATAATTATCCTTATTTGTTTCTCCTCACAAATACACACAGGCTAAAATGGTTTCATTACACAGGAATAAAAGCCGGGATTCTGCACTCGTCCTTTTGAGAAAATGAGAAATAATCAATACCGAAAAAAAGCATCTCGAGCCTAATTTTTATACACAATCGGGTTTGATACATCTTTTTAAAAGTGATAGTCAGGAGCATTTTTTGTAGCCTTAATATATGCCATGTTAGTGCCAAAAAGGTCTTTATAAGTATTAGCTGAAAAATACGAATCCTGTTCTTTTTGCACATCACACTGAAGACTCGGGAGTATCAAGCAGTTAAATACATAGCTGTGTAGAGCCCCTGTCTAAACTATTACCGATTAGGAGAGTTAAATGACCAGGGATCATAATAGTTCACTAAATTGCTCTATCGATATTCAAACTATTTCTGAAGTAGCCACTGCTCAATAAAACAGCCCATAAAGAACATAAGAGGGAACATCTTCTATTTCAGGGATGGTTGTATGAAGACCAACATGCTGTTTAAGTCAGAAAAAATTACTTATTGATGAGATTGTAGATTGACCTCACTGTATTATTGCTACACCGTGTGTGTGTGTGTATGTGTGTGTGTGTGTGTGTTTGGAGATTGTAAATAACTGAAATGAAGGGTGGATGCAGGCAGGTGATTATTTGGTCATCTAGTGTGAAGGACACAGGTAGCAATAGCCAGAGGGACAACATGTGTGTGTGTGCGTTCACCCTAGCCCTGCTACTATTCATTCACCACGGCTGATAAATCAGAATATTTTTCCAAATAATTCCCCGCATTCAAAATGAAATTGGAATAATAACCATTTACCAATATTGTTTTATGTTTGTTTGATCCCAGTGTGTGTCTCATAATCCACATATCTCGGCCCTTTTGTGTCGAGCATTTTGTCTCTTTCTGATTAACAACTTAGCACATTAAAGCGAGAAGGAGTAAAATTATTTTCGCAACATAAAAAATGCCGTCGATGGAGCTCAGAAAAGCAATTTAGCAGGTTTCACCCCACAGTAATTTCACCCATGTTCTGTTTTAATGGCTTTATTTTGCAAAAAAAAGGAGAGAGAGAAAGAGTCAGAACATTGTAGAGGAGTTCATAAATTGAATTTTAAATTTAGCTGTTGAATTACTATTGTCTCCCATGCCTCCTCCCCCACGTCCATTGAACGGCATGCCCAGATGAACAAAAGTGAAAAACACATTTGAAGAAAATAAAAAAAAACAATTTCTTTGTATACCCTCTAGTTTTTTGTTTTTTTTCTGCTGTCCCTCCTGGCAAAATACACAATTCACTTTGTGTCATATTCATAATTTTTTTTCTAAGTACAGCCATTTCTCTGAGGGGAGGGAAAAAAAATGTTTCAATTTGTCAAGAATTATTGTCATTTTTTGTGTGCCTAGTGGTGTGAGGGAAATAGTGGGCATATCTCAAGAATAAGGCTGCAGTGGGCTGAAATCTCATTTAGTGGAACTTGTCATGAGAGCAGATATGAGGCTCCATTTGGGGAGGCAGAGAATTGTCATTTTTTCTGCCTCTGTGGATAGGTGTGGATAATACCATGTGTGGAAGACGGACCAACGTGTCAGATAGCTCTATATAATTTTACCACGGCTGCTTTATTTAAGAATCCCTCACAAGTGTTAGTGTGTGTGTGTGTGTTTAATCAAGCATCCTCTCCTCCGCTCCCAAAACTCTGAAGTTGTTTTCCGTGTCCAGTGCCTCTCTAAGTGCAGCAGTTAACGTGCTTTTCAGGCATGTGTGTGAGGGGATTTACTTGTGTTGCACTCAGCATTTTTGGAAAACGCAGGACCTCTTGAGATGGATCCGTGAGCCAGATGTCGAATTAGGTGTGTGTGTGTGTGTGTGTGTTTCTGTCCCATATCACTGGTGGCACAGTGCCCTGGATTTTCAGACCCGGAGAGTGACGTCCTTTCGCTGCATCGGGACCTTTGTGTGTGTGTGTGATTGTTTGTGTGTGTGTGTGTAAAAACATTTAAGCAGGTCATGTGCTTCCCTGCAACAAACCACCATTAACGTTACATTAGAAACATATGACCAGTGTCAGTTTTAGCACATCCAAAGCATCTTAAAACAATGTCCTCCTTTGGTGTTCACTTAGTTTAACTCGGTTTATTGCTTCATTACAATATACTGTACTTAAAGGCTAAATCTGTTTTAGCTGTTGCATCGTGAATGAAGTTATTAGGTCCCTCTCCTGGCTCTGTATCGTCTCACTGAGCTTTTAGGAGCAGAAACAAATACTCTGGCAATTCAAGGCTTTCTATTCAAAAACATATACAAGCTGTAATACATTTTAGCTCTTGAACCTAATTTTATTTCAAAAATACATACTAGTTGGTTTTTAAAAATAAAAAATGGGGGTTTATGCAAAATGACTCATAACTTTGAATATTCCCTAAAGTGCTTTACTTGATTGCTGGCAATCATTTTGTCAATTTCTTCTAGTGGTTAAATATTTCATTTTACAGTATATTAGCATGATGGTATTACTCAGTGGCTGCAGCCTCTGCAGCGTGGGGAGTGATCTACTTATTAGCAGCTTCGTACATGAATGACAAAGTAAAGAGGAGAGTACATACATTATAACACTAAAAGAAATGTCAGAAAGTTTTTTTTTGTTCCTCTTGGTGGTTGACTCTTAGTGATCCTGGTGATGTTACCCTTTGCAGTGTGACCCCCCACAACCCCCACGCTGACCCACTCCTCCACACTGCAAAATAACTTTTGGACACCCAAGAGCACTCATTCGTCTCTCTGGCTTTCTTTCTCCATCTCTCTCACTACCCAAACAGACTTTTTTTTTTCTCTTCCTCTCACTCTCCCTCGCTCCCCTCCACGCTCTGTGAATTAGTCCAAACTACTCCACGCGCATGCCTCAGTAGACAAAACCACTTTAAAACTAGAGCACCGTAACCGTCTGCACGTAACCTGCTGAATAAAGTGCTCCCATCCCCTGACATGTCTTCTCGATATTAGCCCGGCAATATGAGGCAGCGGCAATTTCTCCTCTCCACTAGACGAGGTGATATTGAGTTGGGGAGAAGAAAGGGAACTGAGGAGGGAGCTGGTGGTGGTGGTGATGGAGATGGAAGGAGGGGAGGGGAGGTGGGGGCAGGAGGGGAGGTTAGTTGGAGATGAGAGAGGAGCAGTGAAAGTGTGTAAGTGTGTGTGTGTGTGTGTGTGTGTGTGTGTGTGTGTGTGTGTGTGAGAGAAGAAACAGTAGGAACAAAATGTCATAAATCACACATGATCCTACACAGCGGAGACAAAAGGGAGAAAGCATGAGAGGGGAAAGGGAAGATAGAAGAACTCCACATTATCTACCCGGCAGACAGACAAACACGCCGCTACGGGTGACGGATTAGCATTAGCCCGACGCGCTGTACCAGAATTTTGCAATGGCTGAGGACCCCAGACAACCCCTAAAAAGTCTCAGAAATACTTACAACAGAATAAATCGCCCTTGACAACTTCTCTTTCCTCTCTTGTTTTTTGTGCTCCTATAAGAAGCTACACAGTATGTAGCTCCAAAGGTGTGGCATGGAGAGCAGGTTCCTTGACTGCTCTGAAATTCCTATGGGGGATTCAAACCTACAAAGTTTGAAATGCAAATTTTGGATCCCTGCAAAACTCTCAAAATGTACCTGTTCCCTAAATTTAACTCACAAGAGCCATTAACTCAATCTGAAAACGATGCTTTCTGCCTGTTGAAGGGAGTGCTCTCCAGTGAGTATTGGCACTGTTGGACTGTGGTTGTGGGAACAAGGCCATAGCGGTTTTATTGCTATTGTTTTAAACAACATTTACAACTCTTTAAAAACCTTCCAGACATTTAAACAAAGATACAAGCTTCAGGTTTTAATTAAATCATTTTACTTTGGCCCTCCGCCAGCAAACTTTTCATCTTTGCTCATACTTGATTCCATTTATTGTTAGTTTATGACCTGTATATAGTAATTTAAGGCTTCCACTGGCTGTGCAGCTCTATAATAAATCAATGGTGGCTTTGGTTTGGAGTGTGTGCATTAAGTGGACTTCTGTCTGGGCTTCCAACTTGGCAGATGGTGGATGAATTCACTCGAACGCTTCTCAGACGAGAAGAAAGCAAAGCACCGTCATGAATGAATGTGAAATATCAGCCAAGAGAGAGGAGCTGATGACGCATCATTTATCTCTCTTTTTTTCTCCACAGGTTTCTTCCATGGACTTCATGGCTATGAAGCGTTCGCAGCTGTACGGCATGGCCAACAATCCTTACTCCACTCCACAGCAGCCAGGGGGCGGACCTTACCCCCCTAGCCAGCCATACACGTCACCTCCTCCGCACCGATATCCAATGGGCATGCAGGGGAGGGGCCAGATGAGCATGGGTGGCATGCAGTACCCTCAACAGCAGGTATGTCAACAAACCCAGAATACTGCAGCCGCAACTGCGTGTCTCACCGTGGCTCGTGAGTGAGTCAGCCCCCTCTGAAGTGCCATTCGAGATAGTGTGGCTGGTGTTGTAAGCGATATTGCGGTGGGACGTTTGCCTCTCGTCATGAACATCCTCCAGCGGGTTTACCCTGAAGGTTTGGCATGTTCAATTTGAGACGGCAGAGGCAGCACATCTCACACCCTGGCATGTGGTGGTGTCACTCCTGTTCATCACTCAGTTCTCCTCAGAGAGATGAGTTTGATGCTGTGTGTATGGGGTGTGTGAGGATGTTCATATCTCTATGCTCGGTGTTGGAATGTTTGTATCCTTTATTATTATTCCTTTGTGTGTGTGTGTATGTGTGTGTTTGATTTTGCTGTATGCATGTGATTTTAATTGTGTATGTCTGTGAAGGGGAACGCTCACTGTGTAGTAAACATAGACCCATGTCACAGTCTCTGCAACACAATAGGCCTGTGTTAGAGACAATAGTGCTTCTGTCTGCCTTATTGAGTCCTATTTGGACTGGAAGTGTGTGTGTGTGTGTGTGTGTGTGTGTGTGTGTGTGTGTGTGTTTGTGTGTGTGTGTGTGTGTGTGTGTTAGAGAGAAAAGTATGCTGTGTATTAATCTGTGTACTGTACACTGTATGTGTTTTTGTGTCTGATGCCTGCGTCTCACATTTCCTGTGTGTGGAAGACAATTTAGCTCCATGCTGTAGTTTGTAGCGAAACTGTTGCACGGAGCACCATGGTAAGAGAAGCAGGGGGCTGGGGGGAAGCACAGTGTCCCCTGCTGTCACAGACTGCCTGCTATATTTAGTCAGCCTGGATCTGTTGGTCTGGACTGGGACACCTCTCATGGTTGCAAGCAAGCTTCCACAGAGAGAGAAAGAGTGACAGAGAGAGAAAAATAGAAAGAGAATAAAATAAAACACAGATAGACTGACAGACTGTATTCCTGCATTGTCTGAAAATATTGTACAAATAGGCGTACATGCACTAGCAAAGAAAACTTCTGAGTAATCAGTGTTACTGCTGTAATAGTACAGGCCAGGCTAGAGGCCAGTAAGTGTTAATGTAACAAACTTTTTCTCTAACTAGTTACACTGTGATCTAAGAGGGAGGCCTCATGTCAGACTTTATTACCCATGCTTCACGTCTAAACCTCCTCTGACGCATTTTGATGATGTCAACACACTCCAAAATAAGCATTATTGAGCCTGCGCAGGGCTTAAGCAAGTGAAAATGCACACAGTTGGGAGCAAGCAGGGGTGTATGCAGTATGTGCAGACGTGCTGTGCAGCCAGCACATAATGACGTACAGTCACTCACAAGCACAAAAATACATCCCTGGTACTGTTTAGTGATGAAATCCTCGGACGTATTACATAGGGGAGGCAGAGCGTCAGCATAGCAATCACAGCGTAGCACTATGGAACGTAATTAGTTCAAATAGAATTAGTTGTTCACTCTGGCTATAGCCATGGGAACTGTGCTTCTAAAGTTTCTAATTATCTGGCTCTGGCTTTAAAAGCAGCACCACCGCAGTGCCTATCTGCAGCCGGTGAAATCTAGCTCACAGTAATGAGTTTGGAGGAGGAGGTTTAATTCCACACTCTCAGATGAGCATAATGAGCCTCACCTACAGAAAAGCGGTCATGGGTCTGATCAGGGAGGGAGGAGCGGGCTAAAAAAAAAATCAATGCTCCAGGTGTGTACTGCAAAATATAGCGTGCATCGAGTCGTAAAGTGACTGTTAATTACATATCAAAAGATGCACCAGGCGCAATTAAGATGGACATGATTTCAGCTGCGTTGAAAGGTGGAGAAATCAGACGCCCCACCCTCTTCCGTAACCTCAAACGTAGTAAAAAAAAAACCGGCCCAGGATCAGCTGCGAGGGACAATCCCACCAACAAGGGGGAATTGTGGGTTATGTGGAGACGCAGCACGCACAATCCCCCGTGATGCATCGTGCTTCAGGGCTGCGACCTCAGCTTGTCACAGCCTAGCATGCTGGGATGTTGCCAGGCAACGTGACGTCAACAAAGATGTGCTTGTACGTCTATCTCTGTGATTTCCCTGGACTGAGTGTGTGTGTGTGTGTATAGGGGGTTTTAGCAGAGGAACAAAAGCTCCTCTTTGACTGCCTTTCATTATTATGATTAAATCCTGCTAAAATTAAGCCCTACTCCTATTAAATACGGACTCCGCAGCAATACATACATTTCATGCTGTGGTGGTATTGGATACGTGCAGGGGCTCACCTTCGTCCTTTTACTTAAGACTCTCACCGCAGCGTCAAAATTAATCTTTGTAACAGCTTTCATATATATATATATATATATATATATATACACACATACATGGCGGATGCACTTACAACTACTGTTATTACACCTGATTAATGCAGCAATCTGGTTATTGCTAGTAAACGACACAGCTCATTTCTACCAAGGAAAAAAGATTCTCAGAATCGGTCTGGAGAATAAAGTCATAGAATCACAAGAATAAAGTTGTCATTTTAGACTGCATATAACTTAAGAGGGGGAATATCAGAAGATACCTGAACATCAGCAGTCACTTGGGTTGAAATTAAGAATGTGAATCATCTTTCTTAGTTATTGTCTCTGCTTAGGAGGATGTGTTTTGATAGATTTTCATGAAACTCAGTGGAAGGATACGGTATGGGTCAGGGGAGAATCCATTCAATTTTGGTGTGGATCCGGGTCAGGGGGCTGATCCAGGAATTATCAATTTTTTCACTTTCTTTAACATTGTGAGGCATTTTTTGATGTTTTCACATATTTCCCAGGGAATAGTTCATGGATCTAGATGGAAAAAATGTGGCATATTCAGAGGAACGATATCTAGAGTGTGTGAAATTTGGTCCAGCCTGATTGAATTTAAGGGGAGTCTTTGGCCTTGGCGGAGGTATGCATATTATTTTCTTTATCTTTCTATTTCTTCTAAAAAAGTCTAGATTGTTTATCTCCAAAAGGGCACTAATACTCTGTTGGAGGACTTGTCTAATGCTTGAGATAGCTGTATAAAATTGTAAGCAGGACATGTATCTACAAATTCCAGAAATCCGTTTACAGCTTCCATATCTAAATAGTCATTCACCTTATTGGCTTCACACTTGGCAGATGTATTGTCAAGGAGCCAAGGAAGTGCAGTGTTGAATTTGTTGCAATTTGGACAAGCGATATATTCAATGATAATAATAAAGATTGAATAAACAACAGGCGGCCAGCACTGTAGCAGCTCACACTCATAACCGCAAACACAACTGATTGTCAAGTTCGGGGTTCAGCAGACTGAGTCAAGCTTCACTGAACTTTGAATAAACAGACGAACAGCCCTTCCAGACAGGCATGTTTAAAATGGGCACTTTACTTGAAGTATTTAATTTCCCATACCAGATTACCTATCACTTTTTAAATTTCTGGGGCTTGTGTACACTCACATATCATCAACTCAGCAGATATATTATCATTTATATTGTTATTATTTCATACAATTCCTGTTTACACTGTCACTGTGTTGTTACCTTAATTCCGTTGTTCTTGCTGGATTGGTATTTGTTGTACATGTAAACATACTCACAGCATCTGTAACCCAGCGGCTCTGGCTGACCTTCGAGTCCGGGTTGAGTCATCGTTTCTGGGCAAGCGTGTTTACCTGTTCAGGCCCTCGAGCATAATGTCTGGAGCCACATATATGCTTGTGCAGACATTTTCCAGTTTACCTGTGCACAGGCTGCTGATGTGATCACACAGGCACTCTCACACACGCTCTGACACATTCTTAACCCCGCAGTTCAGCACCAATTAAGTACTCTGCTCATGGCCTCCTTTCCTTAATCCAGTCATAGGAGGCAAGCACAGACAGCGATCTTACTGTTGATGTCTCGCAGAGGAAAAAAAAAAGCCTCTCCTATTAGCCTCAAGAAAATAAGCCCAGCAAGTGCATTAGGTGTAGTTAGCTTCACGCTGCATCTGCGTGCGTGAGTGTGAGACACAGTTTGGATGTGTCAGACAGAAGTGAGAGACACAGTGTACATTTGAAAGAATGTAACCAACAACGTGTATGGGTGGAGTGAAGGGAGCCAGAACAAATATATCAGCAAAAGAAAAAAAAAAGAGGAGGAAGAAGAGGAAGTAGAAGGAAGGAGGAGGCTGGTGTCTCGGGGATGACAGGCCACACGAGAGAAGTGTCTGTTTGGGAAGCGGAATGAAGTTGAAAGCAAAAAAAAAAAGGAAAAACCAGCGCCGCCAATTCTGAGCGTAATTTCCTGTGATGTCAAAGTTGGCAGACAGAGAGGAAAAGGAATTTGAAGGAAACATTAGTGTTTGATGTGAAAAGAGGGGAGGGGTGATGGAGTGGGAGAAAAAGCAGGAGAAAAAAAGAGATCCTGGGAAATGAAAGAGGGGGGGGGGAGAAAGGACGGAGTGTGTGTATGTTTGTATGTGTGTGGAGAGGGTTTGGTGTGAGGCAGAAATCATTACCCGTGTTGGCTGTTTGTTCCTCACACACTGGGCCATGTTAATAGAACCCCGAGTGTTTAAAGTCAAGTGGAAATGTGGCCGACCTGCTGCCTGTTCAGTCCATACAAACCACAATACCCCTTCACAAGCCTCCTGTCCTTCAGGGCTTCGTACACCTTTTATCCAGAGGCGCTCTCTTTGTAAAGAGGATTTGTATTCAATAATCATCATGGCAAAATAAAAAAACAGACAAATATTGGATCGGCACCTTTTGCTAAGTCTATTTTCCTTTCAATTTGGAAACAGCTGTGTACGATCCTCAATTATTTCAACATTTAAAGATTCGTCTTTGTTTTTATTCATACTGTACACACTCAATAAAAATGTTATTCAAATGAAGTTTTGATAATATTTTAATACACTGTCAGTAATGAGGTCTCTATTGGCCAATGGTGTGGTTGATGCAAACAACTTAGACCTCCGAATACA